AGCTGAAGTTGAAACATCATACTGATTGGTATTCTACTGTGAATGAAACTTCTCTGCTATTCGGAAATCTTTGCACATAAACTAAGTTGAGGAAGATGAGAGAGATAATGTAATTTGAAATGCGCGTGAAAACTTAAAAGACTGATATGATTCAAAGATAACTGAGTAAAATTGCTTTGGACGAAATTATGGTGCAGACGTAGTGGGACAGTAATGATTTTCTTTTTGGCAGAAGAAAAAGAAGAAGACAAACAACTTTATAATTTCAATGACCCACCATGTTTGCCATTACCTTGCTGAATTACAGAGACGTTAAAGAGACGAAAAATTTCAGGAGCTGCCAAGAAACTACAGCAGTACTTTAAATTGTAAGTGTTCAATGTGCAAAAGGGTCAAGGTCTTGAGATATTGTATTTTCTTTTTACTTATTATATATTATTAAAATTTATAATAATCTATTAGAATTATTTCATTTTTTCAATAACTAACATGATTTACTACATAACTAAAATTCATAATAATCTATTAGAATTATTTCTAATATAGATACAAACCATTTTTAAATGTTATAAGTTAAGAAAGTAAATCTTTCTTTTTTTAAAAAAAAATAAAAAATAAAAACTTAATTATTTTTGGGTGGATTGAAGATACATTCTCAAAATTCATCCTACATCAAACACTTTGGAGTAAATTTAATCATGACTAGTTTATCTTTAATTTTATATTTTTATTTTTATTTTTATTTTTTGTCAGAAAAGCTAACTAATTGATTGAAATAATTTAAAGTGATCTGTACGTAAAACTGAGTTGGGGAAAATCTGAGAGAAAATGCAATTTGAAATGGGCGTGAAAACTTGAAAGACTGATATGCTTTTTATGAATGGATGACCCACAATGTCTCCAAAAAGTAAAAAGAAGTTAATAAAATTAATGTTACATATAGAAATAATTAATATTTGATCTATCTAAAAAGTACTAGACCATTAAATCTAGTATGACTTGGTATAGTCTACGGTTATATTGTAATAACAAAATTTTTATTGTTTCTTAATGTTATAAATAGTATTTAACATAATTTTATGGTTACATATATCCTATAAATAAAAAGTTTGACATTATTAGAGATTAGAATTAATAAAATGATTATATAAGTTAAGAAAATAAATCTCTCTTTTTTTCATAAAAATGAAAAATAAAAACTCCAATTATTTTGGGTGGATTGAAGATACCTCTCAAATTCACCGTGCATCAAATAATCATGACTTTAATAGTGTGGATTGAGGATATCTGTAGAGCATCTTTGCTATTTTAATGTCAATGAAGTTGTCAAGGGACACTGTTGTCATTTCATATACAAGATATTTAGGAAACTGTGATAGAAATGACTCATGATGAGCTGTACACATACTTGACTTCTAGGCAATGTAGAGGAAGCTATCAAAATTATCAGAAATATTGTGTGGATGTAAGAATTCGAAGAACACCTTCACTGTTTAATTGCTAATCAAATAGACAAGGGGTATTATGGTCATTTAATAGCCAAAATTATTTTTTTAGTCCAGGTTCCATCCCGAGTACCCGCCTTCGGTTCCAAGCAGGTTCTATCCTGGGTACCCGTCTTCGGTTCCAAGAAAGTTCCATCTCAAGAACCCACCATCGGTTCCCATCTCAGGATTCGGTTCCGGTTTCGGTTCTATCTACTACCCATGCTTACCCCTATAATGTTGTCAAACCATAATTCAAAATGAAAAGTAAAATGATTCTTATTATCTAATAACGACATCGAGTAATAATACATCAATAACTCTTTTTTACAAACTTTTTCTCACAACCCTGACGTGGCAGTTTGCAATTGGTTAACTTGCAATTAATTAGTGGGACCTATGTGGGATCTATATAGGACTTATTATGAACTGACTAATTGTGAGCTATCATATCAGAGTTATGAGAAAAAGTTTATGAAACATGATTGTTGGTGTAGTATTATTCTAAGTACATCTCATATTGATTTTATTCAAAGATTGACGAAATTAGGGTGGGGACAGCAATGAATTTCTTTCTGACGGAAGAAAAAGAAGAAGACAAACAACTTTATAATTTCAATGACCCACCATGTTTGCCATTTCCTTGCTGAATTAAAGAGACGATAGAATCCAGGAGCTGCCAAGAAACCAGTGCTCTCAATAATTTGAAGTGTTCAATGTGCAAAAAGGTCAAGGTCTTGAGATATTGTATTTTCTTTTTAATTATCAAATTTTATAAATGTTGATAGCGTGTTCAATGGATAAAAAGTTTACTTATTATATATTATTAAAATTCATAATAATTGTTATGCCCAGGAAAATAAAGGGCTGACGTGGGAAAGTCACGTGAAGGGTGACCTGCTCCCGTCAGAGCAACACGCACACGTCAGACCTGCCAAGTGATATNGGTTGAAAGTTATTTTCATTTATAAATTGCATTTGGTTGGCTGACAGACATATGTTCATTAGCATGATGTTTATACACATTAGAAGCACTCTAATACATTTGTTCTATAAACCGTTTTCTAAGATTTACGTTTTCATAACTATGTTTTGTGTTACACTATTGTCATTAAAGTTTTTATGAATGGAATTGGTAAATTGTTTTTTGGGAAAAAAAAAAAAATCACCCTCCTCTTGGGATCTTGAGTCCCTCGGAGTGCCCGGATTCGACGGGATAGGGAATACGCGGGAGGGGGTGTGACGATAAATCATTGTGAGTATGTGGGAGGGGGTGTGACAATAAATCATTGTGAGTATGTTTTGATTAATTTTGCCCTTTTGGAATAGATTAATACTAGGTAATTAGCATAAAAAATCTCATCATATTCAACGAGTGAAATATTGTGTTATTTGTATTTTGGATTAATAATAATTATTTAGATAAGATAAATAAATAATTAGCCATGTTACTATTTTCTATGCTATATAAAATTTAAAAAATAAAAAAAGAATTTATATACCTTGCTTAAAAACCAATGATATTTTTGTGAAATGTCAAGCTTTGAGTAACTACCAACAAAGCGCAAGCATCTGATTTTGACTAGACCTTTATCTGAAAGAGGTAAGACAAGAAAATAAATAAGATGTGAAGTAATTAAATATAAATTAATGTTAAAAGAGAAAAAACTATGAAGCATTGTTGATCATTCCTTTAAATAATTTAATTATAAAAAAAAAAGGAAAAACTTTTTTTATTATTTTGTTCCTATTTAATAACAAACAAAGTCAGATCAAACTAGAGTATGTATTTCATTGTAAGTATTAGTGAATATTCTTGAAGTCCCTTGGTTAATGTTTGCTCAATTACCACCCCAAGAAATAAAATCACATCTAACCTTACTAATATTAAAATTTTTATTTCTAAATAACATAAGATATATATACATACACAGTTAAACCTTAATAAATTACGATCATTGGGACTATGAAAATTTATTAACAAATCAATATATTAAGTAATCGTATAAATTAATAAATTATTAATTTATTGAGACATTCTTTATTTTCTTTTTCCAAAACCTTGAACCTAATGCATTACATATTGTGTATAGTTAATGTGATTTACGGAATAGCTCATAGTTAATGCACTTAAAGCAACAATCACATTGCATAATTTTCTCTTGCAATACGAGAACATTACACTAGTGGTTCTTAACGCACTAAAAAAAGTTAGAGATGAAATCCAAGAAGATATCAATTTTAAGAGGAAACAAATAACATTGGACTTATTTTATAAAAGGCCTCCTAATTGAGTCATGCATATATATAATTTTTATGTATAGAGAGATTATTAGTTTATATATCAAGTGGTGATTATGCGTGTGTGTGTGTGTGTGTGTGTGTTTTTTTTTTTTTTTAATGTATTATCTAATAAATTTAGCAAATTATTAATTTATCACATTGGTCCTAAGTTAGGACCGGTCAAAAGTATTATTTAATTGAAGTTATTAATTTATCGAGGTTTAACTGTATTTTTTTACTTACACAAAGTTAGCCATGACTCAAGAGTTCCACCTTCAGTTAAGACATTTTCTTTTAATTTTAAGATTAAAATATTAAACTATATGATAAATTTTGGTTTCATGATGATGCTCTAATTAGCAGAAGTTTTAAATTAAGTCTGCTCCGTTAAGCTACATCCATGGAGATTTCCTTATTATATTTTTGAAAAGTTTTCATTTTCATTCATAGTGTAAATATTCAACATAGAAACATAATTTATCGAAGAATGTTTAATTATTATAATAAATGTCAAAAGCACAAAAGAAAAAAGGACATTTCCTGTACCTTTTTTTCTATTAAGAGATATCTTGACACAATAGAAAACTACACTCTGTGAGAGAATTCTATGACCTGTATGCTACACGTGAAACAATAAAAATAAATAGTTAAACAATAAATGATGAATTTTAAATATTTTATATAATCATGCTCCATCAAACTAGAAGATATTATCCTCTTCATAGGGTTAATAGCTCACAACCCCAAGTAAAATATCCTAACAATGGCTACTAATTAGTCAAATATCATAAATTGTTAAGAGTTATAAGCTAAAACTAGGAGACAAAAAAGTCAACAGTAACCTCTTCTTCTCAAACTATATAAGCTGTTGTGCCTCTTATCTTATATTTTAACGAAAGTTATTTTTCCAGAAACCTCAGCTCGCAAGTTTTTTCTCTATTCTTAGCATAAACTGACTTAAATTATGCAAATGTAATAAGAAAATGAAATTTCAACCCTATCCTTGGAATAATGGAGACAACCTATATGCAATATTATTCTAAACAAAAAATTTTGTCTACTTTAACCCGTGTGGAAATTAATTTAGACATGTGGCCACTGACCACACATTCTAAATAAACTTCAACCAAGCTAATGAAGTTCAAAACATTAATTTTTGAAGTCTTTCTTTTTAACTTTTTAATGAAATAATTTGTAGTGGTATAATAATGAAGTTTAAAGATGATAAGTATCATACCCAACTGTGATGATGCTATTTGAGCTTGAGAATCTGTGATCACAATTCACAAAGTTTAGATATGAATTAGGATACATATCTAAAGTCAGTATAAAGTTTGTGACTAACACCTTCTAGGTAAGAGAATCTGCAGTAAAATTCCACACTCAGAATGAAGTGTATTTGAGATGTTCGATCAGATCCTTGCAAACTTTAGGTTTATAATGACGTTAGCAAGTAAATAATAACAAAAAAAACCAAGTAAAACTAGAAGAGAAGCTAAAGTTGAAACATCATACCGATTGGTGTTCTCCTTGAAATGAAACTTCTCTGGTATCTGTAAATCTTTTCACAATCACCTCTCTGCTTTTATCAATGGATGACCCACAATGTCTCCAATAACTTGACCTATCAAATGAGAAAAAAGATAATTAAATAAAATATAAGTAACTGTATTATGGAGCCATAAAAGCATTAATAACAAAATAAGTAAAACAAGTTAATCTTAGAAATGAATAAAGATAATAAAGAAAACAAGCATTCAATTTTATGGGGTATTTACATTTTTTAAGGAGATTAAACAAGAAATTAAAATGAAATTGCCAACTCAAATTCTTGACAGGTAGTAATTAGTCTAAAGTTGAAATAATGAAGTTCAAAACAAATTAATTTTTCTAGTCTTTCTTTAACTTTTTAATGAAATAATTTATAGTGATATAATAATGAAGTTTAAAGATGATAAGTATCATATCCAATTGTGATGATACTATTTGAGCTTGAGAATCTGAGATCACAATTCGTAAAGTCCAGCTTTATGAAGTAGGATATATATCTAAAGTTGGTATAAAAGTTTGTGATTGATAACTTTTAGGTAAGAGAATTTGAAGTAAAATTCCACACTCAGAATGAATTGTATCTCAGATCTTGTCTGTTTTAATTGGAAAAAAAGAAAATTGAATGAAATTATTCAAAGTAGAAGACCAATAATTTTGATTAAAACCAAAAAAAGGTAGGAAATTACCTTCTTCTATAAGCCAATATAATTCACCATCACTAAGGAGACTTCAGTTGACTTGATTAGAGCTCACAGATATGAATTAGTACATCAAAACCAACTAAAAGCAGAAAATAATAAATAATTATATAGAAATTGACCTTGTATATGTCTTCGATCAGATTCTTGCAAGTAAATAATAACAAAGAAGAAGTTAATTAATTGAATAAACTAAAATAAAAAAAGAAGTTGAAGTTGAAACATCATATCGATTGGTGTTTTTGCAAGTAAATAATAATAAAGAAGAAGTTAATTAATTGAATAAACTAAAAACAGAAGAAAAGCTAGAGTTGAAATATCAAACCGATTGGTGTTCTCCTATAAATGAAACTCCTTTTATATTTGTAAATCTTTGCACATAAAACTGAGTTGAGAGAGAAAATGTAATTTGGAAATTAAAGTATTCTAACAAATATGCGTGAAACTGCTTTTATCATTGGACGATATGATTCAAAGACGGGGGTGGAGACATAGGGGGACGGCAATGAATTTTTTTCTGACAAAAGAAAAAGAAGAAGACAAACAACTTTATAATTTCAATGGCCCACCATGTTTGCCATTACCTTGCTGGATTAAAGAGACGACAAATGTAAGGAGCTGCCAAGAAACTACAACATTTTATATTTGAAGTGCTCAATGTGCGAAAGGGTCAAGGTCTTGAGATATTGTATTTTCTTTTTAATTATTAAATTTTATGAATTTGATAGCGTGTTCAATAGATAAAAAGTTTACTTATTTTATATTATGAAAATTCATAATCTATTAGAATTATTTCCTTTTTTCAATAACTAATGCAGTAGATTATTTACTATATAATATTCAACATTATTAATTCTCATAAACAATTTTAAAATTTTAATTTCTCAATACTTAATCTTCTTAGTCAAGAACAAAAATGGTTAAGAGATATTGTCTTTTAAAAATATTGTTTAACGTTATTTAACATGGTCTAACATATTTTAATTAGATTGTTAAATACTGTACCATTAAATCTAATTTGATTTGGTATAATCTAGCGTTATATGTTAATAAATAAAATTTTTATTGTTTCTTAATTTTATAATTATATATATCCTGTAAATAAAAGTTTTGACATTAGAGAAATTAGAATTAATAAAATAATTATATGGATATAAATCATTATTTAATGACATAAGTTAGGAAAATAAATCTCTCTTTTGTAAAAAAAAAAAAAAAAAGAAGAAGAAAAAAAACTTACTGCATGTTTGGCTTAATATTTTTATCCATATTCTGGATCCTATTTTCCAAATAATGTTTGGCACATTATTCCAGAAATATTATCCTATTTTTTAAATTACATTTAAACCCCATAAGGTTATTAATTTCACTAACTACCCCCTGAAAAAAAAGTTTAAAAATTAACAAAAACACCCCCATCAACCCAACTTGTCAAATTCCGGCAACCACCATCGGTGATAGTCGGAATCTGTACAACGGCCTAACTTCCGACCAGAAATGGCCGGAAGTTCACCGATGTGGCCTTTTCCGGTCAGATCCACCACGGATCTGGCCGGAAAAGGCCAGATCTGGCCGTCACCGACGGCCAAAGAAATGGCCGTCGTTGACGGTCAACGATGGCAAAATCTTGGCCGTCGTTGACCGAAAACGACGGCCACATCTTTGGCCGTCGCTTACGGCCAAAGATGGTCGTCGTTTGGCCTTTTCCGGCTGTTGACGGCCATAACAGATCGTAGATCTGGCCTTTTCCGGCCAAATCCACCATGGATCTGGCCGGACAAGGCCATAACGACGTGTTACGGCACAGATCCGACCGGTCTGTGCTGTAACGAAAATTTTCGGCCAGATTCCGGCGGTGGTGGCCGGAATCTGACACTACAGGTGGTGGGGGTGTTTTTGTCATTTTATATGTTAGGGTCTTTAGTTAAATTAGTAAACCTAAGGGCTTTTTCACAAATTTTTAAAATTTACCTCGTAATACTCTCCTATCCAATAACCCAATATTATCCCCAAAATCCTATCTAAAATACTAAACCAAATGCACCCTAATTATTTTGGGTGAATTTATTAGAGATAAATTTGAGTATAAATAATAATTAAAAGTCATAAAATAACATCTTAATTAATAAAAATATTTAATTTTTCGTATATAAATATTTTATAAAATCGTTTATGGCGCCCTAGGCAATTGCCTGACTTGCCCAGGGCCCTAGGTAACTCCGATTTGAGAGCTGAAAGACTTTTTAGTTATAACTTGAAGAAATTACTCAAAACTTGCACAAGACTTCATCAAGAAATTATAAAATGAAAACGACAAAGACTCGGCCATTATAATTTATAAAAGACGTGGGATGAGATGAGATAGTCTGGGTCTTTGTTGGGGACAAGGGAGGGATAGAGAACCGTGCAGGTCTTTATTGGGTTGAGAATAAAAGTAACAAGATATAGCATTTAATTATCAAATCAAATAAAATAAAGCATGCACATGGGACTGATTCACATGTACTCACATGCTCGCCTAGGCAAAAGAGAGAGAATAGTTGATGTTGATATTTTGAGACTTTGATTAAAAATAATTTGAAATAGATAGTTACTGAAAAAAGGGTTTATAAGAGATAAATTTAGTATAAATAATAATTAAACTAATACAAAATCATAAAATAACATCTTATTAATAAAAATCTTTAATCATGACTCAATGTAATTTGAAATGCGCGTGAAAACTTAAAAGACTGATATGATTCAAAGATAACTGAGTAAAATTGCTTTGGACGAAATTATGGTGCAGACGTAGTGGGACAGTAACGATTTTCTTTTTGGCAGAAGAAAAAGAAGAAGACAAACAACTTTATAATTTCAATGACCCACCATGTTTGCTGAATTAAAGAGACGTTAAAGAGATGACAAATTTCAGCAGCTACCAAGAAACTACAGCAGTACTTTATATTGTAAGTGTTCAATGTGCAAAAGGGTCAAGGTCTTGAGATATTGTATTTTCTTTTTAATTATCGAGTTTTATGAATGTTGATAGCGTGTTCCATGGATAAAAAGTTTACTTATTATATATTATTAAAATTTATAATAATCTATTAGAATTATTTCATTTTTTCAATAACTAACATGATTTACTACATGACTAAAATTCATAATAATCTATTAGAATTATTTCTAATATAGATACAAATCATTTTGGGTGGATTGAAGATACTTTCTCAAAATTCATCCTACATCAAACACTTTAGAGTAAATTTAATCTATTTATTTTTTTCTTTTTTTCTTTTGTCAGAAAAAGCAAACTAATTGGTTGAAATAATTTAAAGTGGTCTGCAGATAACTGAGTTGAGGAAGATGTGAGAGAAAATGCAATTTGAAATGCGCGTGACAACTTTAAAGGCAGATATGCTTTTATGAATGGATGACCCACAATGTGTTAATAAAATTAATGTTATATATAGAAATAATTAATATTTGATCTATATAAAAGGACTAGACTATTAAATTTATTGTTTCTTAATGTTACAAATAATATTTAACATAATTTTATAGTTACATATATCTTGTAAATAAAAAGTTTGACATTATTAGAGATTAGAATTAATAAAATGATTATATAAGTTAAGAAAGTAAATCTCTCTTTTAAAAAAAAATGAAAAATAAAAACTCCAATTATTTTGGGTGGATTGAAGATACCTCTTAAATTCATAGTACATCAAACACTTACAGTAAATATAATCATGAGTTTAATGGTATGGATTGATGATTTCTGTAGAGCACCTTTGCCATTTCAATGTCAATCCAGTTGTCAAGGGACACTATTGTCATTTCATATGCAACATATTTAGGAAACAACAAATGAAAATGTGATAGAAATTACTCATGAGGAAGCTGTGTGTAAAGGCATTTAAGTCATTTGTCATTTTTTTGTTAAAGTTAACAATAAATAACTGTTAAGTGTCTCTTAATTAAATGTGTAACTTTTGTCCTTTCATTGAAAAAGTTTAAAAAATTTAAATCTTAATTGATAATATTCCTAAAAAATATGTTGTATGTCCATAATTGACTTAGGAGTATAGCAAGGAACTTGGTAAAATTATTGTTCAGAAATATTGGAGGATGTCTAAGGGGTACCTTTGAAATTATTTTAACCAAATTTTGGAAACTATCAAGTTGAACCATTCTCTTTAATTTCTAGCGTAAAATTTGGAGTAACTAATTTTTTTTTCTTTTGTGAAGTTTGAGAGTTGATTGATTTTGACTAATATAATTATAAACTGAACCATAATTATATTTCATTTTTTAAAGACGTAGCCAAGATTGTATCATAGGAGTCACGTTACAATTGATAATAAAATTGTTAATGAAATTTAAACAGTAATATATTATATTGGGTAATTATCATTTATTATATTTTTTGTAAATAATATTTAAGAAGCATAAAACGTAGTTAAGATAGTTCACAATTGAACACATGCGGTGCATCTATCATGCATTTCAAGTCTTCACAATCTGAAACCCAAAGAGTATTCAACTTCTTCAATCCCTTTTGGTCAATGCTTGGGAGGATATTTTGATAACCTGTTACTCGTTCCAAACTAGGATGTTCTACACTATGATATAGTGCCTTAAATAATGCAGTCAATAAGGTTGCATTAATATCAGCAATTATTAAAGCTTTTGACGATTCTGAATATCCATAAGTTCTATTCACAACAAATGGTAAATTCTTTTTTTTTTTTTTTTTGTAATTTACAAAATTTTGCATTTAAATAATATGTTTGTGAATAATTCGAATTTCATAAGCTAAACTTAACTTACATACAAGGAAATAAAGCAAGAGATATGACACTCCGTTATAGTTGTCTATGGCATTTCTCCAACGTATAGAATTCGATAAGGAAATTACATTGAAATTAAGTCGAAATCAATTAGATTATAATACTCATCATTGTATAATAAAACAATAAGTAATCAATAGAAAAATTATTTAATTACTATAATATTCATGAAAATATGAGATATTAATTACTATAAGAAGCTATTGAATTTAAAGAAACATAACTAAAAACCCTTAGAATGTGAAAAAAGGAAAACTGAAAATAATTCAAAATTA